AAACGCTCTGAAATAAAACCGCCGAGACAGAGCCGTTTGTTGGCAGGGATGTCAGCCCCGGGGCGGTAGATTACCACCCTCGCTAAACCCAAGCGACTTGATAACGTTTCAAAAACGTGAGGGGCAAAATATGTTCATGGGGGAGTTCGGAGCGGCGTGCCGCGGCACGTCGTGCTCGCGACGTCGGTGCGAAACCGGGAGTTTGAACGCGCGTCGCTCGTCTCTGCGTGCGTGCGTGATATCAACGACGCTGAGAGGGGGTGGGGGGGCAACGGAGCGCCGATGAAAACAAGAGAGCGCGCTGTTCCCGTGCCGCCAGCCGGGTTTGCCTCGTGCCGCGACGTTCCCACGCCAGGACCTCCGGGGTGCCGCTCGTACCCTCGACGCGTGCGGCCCGCTAAAGGGTCGCCCACCTACCGCCCGTACTACGACCTCGGCGAACTGCGCCCTGCGACCCTTGAAAGAGATAAAGTTTTGACCGAGCGATCGATCTGATAGTATGTCACAGATCCGTCGCGGCTCGATTCAACGATCGATCACTTTGCTCCGCCTCCCCCGCGCGTCAATTCGCGATTGTTCCGTCTCGTTCGCGCAGGCCCGTTTGCCCGAGGCTAAATTTAACGTTTTCATATCGTTTGCATGAAATGTGTGCAAATCCGTAAAATAATCCGCTCTCGCGCGCGCAATTTGACGAGCGTGAGAATCAATTTCAATCAATGCATCCATGCATCATTACGTGCCCGGTAGGCAGACTTCCTGCCTAACTGGGGCATGGATTTCACAGCTGGAGCCGAACATTAACCCATTAATGGACGGGTGGCTGCGCGTGACGCGGGGGAGCGGTGGTTGTGGCGGTTGCACCTCGCCGTGCACTGCATAGCAGCAATCGCGGGGAGGAGGGGCGGGGTAGTGGGGGCATGCGGCCGTTCAAAATCGATTTTTGTGCCGTAATCCACCAGCTGCGGCGGGTTCCTTCGCAGGTGGGGCAAGGAACGTACCCCCCCCCCTTTGCCCCCACCCGCCCCCCACCACCGCACCCCCCCCCCCCCACCTGCCCCCCCAATCTGCAAACGAAGAGAGCCCTACCCACGGCGGCGAAACGTGCCGCACGTTACCCAGTTGGGAGAATTTTATTGAAAAAAGAACAAGACCATCGCGGCAGCCGGGCCCATCCGTCCGCAGGAGTCATTTACAGGAGGAGAGTCGAGGCGGAGAAGAATGGCGGCAGTGTGCGGCACAAAAACAACACGGGCCTCTGCAGGAGCGAAAGTCGCGGCTGTGTCTCTGACACGCAGATGCAGGGCCGGCAGCGCGCGCCCTTCTCCGCTGGTGATGCTTCTCGTGTAAACTACTCCGCTCCACCGTACAACTGCACGCGCTCTCTTCCTGCTCTGAAAAAAAGCGCGTGTATTTATCAGTCATCTATCTCGGCGCGTTTGTGCCGACACGCCAGAAGACGCGCACGCGCGGTGGTGGCGGTTCAAATCGTCCCCATTACCCTGAACACGGCGGTGACAGCCGCTGCGTGGTCAAAGCCGTCAGGCGGGCGGACGGACGCAACGAAAATGCGCGCGCTTTGCTCCGTTCGCGCGCGTGTGGGCGTGCGTCACGTAGCCGGGGCCTGTCAATTTATCCGATAATGGCTCTCGCGCGTGGCGCGTGCGGAGAAGGGCGAGAGAGTAAAGTGGGCGAGCGCGGAGCGGCGAGACGAGACGACGCGATGACGCCCGCGCGACACAAAATTAATCCGACGAACGTAATGCGAGCGGGTCCCCCCTCCCCCTCGCCGACACCAACAGCGCACCCCCCCCACCAACCCACACTCCATCGCCTCCACCCCTCCGTCGATCCCCTTCTCCCTCCAGCCGCGTGCTTCCCCCAGCAATCCGAGAGCTCACTCCGCGTGGGTCTGGCCAAAACAGGCGCAGCAGGCAAATTTCTCGCCCGCAGCTGTCCGGCGGGACGAATGTGCCAGCGCCGCGGGCTGGCGGAGGCCGCACGGGGCGCGCGTGCGGGGGAGCAGCTGGTGCCTACCCCCTACGCGTCGCAAAAAAATATCGAGGGCCGTGAAAAATCCGCGCCGAACTGCGCGGTTTTAGCGTCGCGGAGAGAAACCGTGGGGGGCCGGGGGGGGGGGGGGCCGCGGGGTCACGGCGGGGGGCGGCCTTGTCGGGCCCGAGGTCGCCACGTCCCTCTCCGTGACGCTCGAGTGAAGTGCGCGGCGCGCTTCCAATAGCTGCTGCCGAGCAAAAAATTGGACGCCGCGAACCCCGAGACGTCGCTTACGAGCGCAGGGCCAAGAAGTGTGGGCAGCCGTCAAAGCCCACAAGCCAGACACGATCGTTTCCAGCTGCTGTTATGGGTGAAAAATAATGATTTGGTCATAACGACGACAAAAAAAAAAAGTTCCCACCCGCCACCTCGGATTACCGCCGCAAAAACGATGAATTCCAACACGGTCTCTCACACGGTTGCGGCGAGGCGCCGGATTGAATATTTTGAGCCGGAGAGCTATTTAGGGTCATCGCCGCCCACAAACGCGCACACACACGAACGTGCACACGAACGGACGCGCACACAAACGGACGCGTAAATGCGTGCGCTAGCCCGCGCAATAAACAGGACCCCAGGCAGCGTGCTGAGCGCATTGCGAATGTGGACGAACCGCCCGCCCGCCCGCCCACCCGCTCGTGATTGAGTGGCGTGCGCTTCAGAGCGCCCGGTCGTTATCGTGTGCCTACGAATGATCCACGACTCCCATTACTGCCGGAGCCTCTCAGTGATAGCGATACGACCGGCGTGCCCAATAACCCCCTCGCGCTCCGCCCGCCCTCCCCCAACGTGCCGCCGCCTCTCATCCCCCCCCCCTCCTCCCTGCCCACCCCCAGCAACCTCCTCCACCCCGCCACCGCCCCCCCCCCCCGGCACCACCACCACGCAGCCTCCTCCCTCCGCTCTCTCTCGCACGGCGGTCAATGGCCCAGATAATCTTTCCGCTGGACATTAGCCAATAGGGCCTCACGATTTTGTGACCAGCGCGGGCGGGCCGGCCTTTGCATAAATGATTCCCGCGAGGATTGATGGCGGCGGCGGCCGATGCCGAGAGAGAGATATCGCGTGTAATTACCGCCGCGGCCGCGGTGGCGGCGAGCTCGCGCCGCCATCCGCAGCCGCCGTTAAAGGCTGTGAGCGCGTCAATTACGAGTCGTGTTTGAACGCGCCTTTTGTGAAGCAGAACCAGCAAATCCTATTTCGGGAGAAACCCTGGAAACGAGGACGGGAGGGAAAAACAACACACGCACGCGCGCACGCACGCACACCTGCGCTTCTGCTGCCGAAACGTGGGCCCACGCGTCCAAATAACCACCACCTGTCCGTATGTAGCCTTAACAGACTGTTGGGGCAAGTGCTGTGAGCGAGCAGCACCTTTGAAGGGCGGTACTGTGGAGTGCGAGGGAGTGGGGTGGCCAGCACCACGCCCGGCCGCCTTTGTCTCCCCACACGTGTGCTCACACGTGCACTGCTTGCACAGCGGAGCTTTATCCCGACCGACGTCCACGTACATGAACGACGGTGCACGCGCCCACACAGCTCGCGGCACAACGCTGGTGCCGCCACAACGCTAGTGCCGCCACAACGCTCGCTGGCTGTGCGCGACCGCGGGGTGGGCAGGGGAGACACGGATTCTCCCGTGGTTTTCCACGGCCCTGACCTCCGCAAGCCCGTGCTCTACATTAAGGATCTTCGAGTTCAACGGCTGTCTTTAAAAAAATGAAAAAAACGACACACACAAACTTAGAATATTCGTCGTTTCAATGCTGCGCTCTGTAAGAATTGCTCTCAGCTGTTTTGTGGTTTTGAGAATTTTTGCGTGCTCAGGGTGGAGGAGGTCAGGTAACCGAGGATCAATGGCGCAGGTGAAGACCTCGAACCAGACAAAGGAGATGATTGGACTGCGAGAGCGGGGACCTTGGAAGGACGTGCCAACCGTGTAGGCCTAAGCCGGATCGAGTGAACAGTGATAATTGGTTCTTTACCCTTCTATCTGGCAACAAAACTGACACCTTTTTGCAAGGAGTCATGTTTGCATAGACCGCAATACCTGCAGTCATAAATACAAACAAAAGACATAACTCTGATAATGTGCACCGTCCTTGAAGTTGATTGGTCCACACCCGAGACAGCCCATATGAGACTAGGCTCGAAGGAAAGCTGTCTCGGGTGTGGACCAATCAACTTCAAGGACGGTGCACATTATCAGAGTTATGTCTTTTGTTTGTATTTATGACTGCAGGTATTGCGGTCTATGCAAACATGACTCCTTGCAAAAAGGTGTCAGTTTTGTTGCCAGATAGAAGGGTAAAGAACCAATTATCATATTTTTACTGGCAAATGAGGTCCCCATAGCGAGTGAACAGTGTTAAGACTGCGGCCCCCGTGGAGTGAGGCGTTGAACCTGCGGTGACTACGGGAAGTGGTGGCGAGGTTTGGAGGGATCAACGGCACGGGCCGCGGTGACCTCCTGACCTCACTTGACCTCAAGAGACCGTGACGACGGCTTGTCAACAACAAGCCTCGTGCTGCCGATGTCGTCGTCGTCGTCGTGGTCATGGCCGCAAGCGCTGCGAGGAATATCGGCAACCTCAACGCGGCCTCCGTGGTTACGGCAGGACCCCCCCCGACCCCCCCAAACCCCACCCCCACCATTTGTGGTTTAACTTTCCGGCAATCGCACTCTCTCCGATGACACAATATTGTGACGTGCGGGAGACGCTAATAATAATAATGTTGTGGAATATGCAGCGTGGGCACGAGTTTTGTGTGAACATCTTCCCTACAAAGTGCCGCCGTCGCCGCCGCCGCCGCTGCTGCTGCCGCGAGCTCATTATTGTTTTGTTGGCATGTTGAAAATTAAATTGTCACACCACAGAGAGGCTGATTAATTGGAATCTCGGGAGAGAGGGCCGCGGGTTAAAAATAAAGACGAGCGAACTTCCTACCTTATCCTCCACGTCACTGTCGCTGTCACACTGCAACACAAAAACCAAGGGTGGTGGGAGGAGGGGAGAGGGAGAGAGAAAGAAAAACCACACGCACGTGTTAATCAACAGGCACACCGGCGGCGGCAGCAGCAGCAACAGTAGTAACGAGCGTAATAGACAAATTGCTTTTTGCATAAAATAATGATGATAAATCCCCGGGCGCGCTCCCCCCCCCCCCCCCCCCCCCCCGCTGGCTCGGTGCCACATGAGCCTCCCGCGCCGCGCCGAGCACGCGCCAGGCGGCATGTAAACGCCCGCCGAAACCCGGTGCCTCCTCGCCAAAAGTGCCGCCCGGCGGCTAAACTCCCGGCACCGGCCGTCGGCACCCAGCCTGCCTCCCGGCCTCTACGCCGTCACCCCCCACCACCCCCTCCTACTGCTTGCACGTGCGTCACATCACTCAGAGCCAAGCCACAACATTTACAATCTGAGTACGACCTTTCGCCAGTAACTAGCTTCATCAGGTGACAGCCAGTTGAAATTACTAGCGAAACCTCGGTGGTGGTGGCGGGTTTAACGACACATTTATATATTTACACGCTCTAACCCAAAAAAAAGAAAAAAGACATTGAAAGGCGGCTCTTTCTCTCTCTCCCGCTTTCGTGGGCAGCAGTGGCTCGAGCGATCCGAGTCTCGCGTGCCGGGAGGCCGGGTATCACGGCCACATCGAGGGGGGCGCAGCGGTGAGGCCCGGCTGGCCAACCCCTCTGCTGGCACGACGGCGCGGAGCGCGGTGGCGTTAATCTCCCATCGCTCGGAGTGAAGGGTCCACAATCGAAGCACGCGCTCATTTGCACGTTCGTTTAAAATGTTCCTCGACGGCTTAGTCGCGAAAAGAAACACCGCGGGCAAACTACAACGGTGAATTAGGTGCCAGGTTAAGCCGCCACGTGCGACCGCTCAACCCGAGGGAAGCTGCTGCTGCAGCCCGATCACGACGACCCTGGACCATCGGCCCCGCGGATCGCCCCGGCCACACGCGCACGGAGCTGGGTCTCCTCCGTGACGCGCGAGACATTTCATTTCTCTTAGCTCGCGACACGACGCCAGGAGCGAGGTCGCTACGGCGGCATCCCCTTCGCGCCAGGCGCGGTTCACACCGCCCCTTCTCTTCATATTTCTTGATCTGGTTCGAAGGTCCCAGCGGACTGAGAAGGCTACTCGCTCCCTCTCCTCCCTCCCTCTCCTCCCTCCCTCTCCTCTCTCCTCTCCCTCCCACTCACCCCGATCGCTCTCCCCTCCCTACAGAGACTCACGACAGCACGCCGGGCTCGTGCTTTATAGCAGCAAGCTGCGCGCTTTCCTAGGGCAACATCCATCATCAAACCCTGGCCGAATCTTCCACGGGAGAGGGCCCCCACGTTCATTAAACACGAGACCGACTGTGCCGGATATCGCCGCGGACGGGCGGACGGGCGGGCCGGCGGGCGGGCAGACGAACCGAATCGGCACGGTGGGGGGGGGGGGGGGAGACAAAAAAAAACACGGCAAGCGCAAAATAATCAAAAACAAACTTCGGGAAAGGACGGGGGAGGGAGGAAGGGATGTTTTTCAAACGTGCGGAGTTGCCGGCGGGACGCGTGGCGAGTCTCTCGTTCCTGTCGCTCGCTCGCAACCAGCTCCGACCACTCATGACCCCCCGTTACTCCGGTCACCTCCCCCCCACCTCCCACCCCCCACCCGTGCCTCCCTTCCACACGTCCCAGCGCACGGCCTCACGATGTACGGCTGAGACTCCCCCCTCCCCAGATTAACCGCGCGCGGAAGTCACAAGTGCACCCGTTTCAGGGCCATGTACGTTCAACTTCTTTCACGCCGCACGTCGCCAGCCGCGCTATCCGGTCCCAGACAATCCCAGCTAAATACAACAACCCACCGTTATCAACAACCACCACCGACGCGAAGCGCCACCACCACTTAGCCAATCGCAAAAACCTGCAACCAAATAATTAGCGGCCAACGCCAATTAGCAAAGATGTAGCAGTGAAACTCCTCGGTCTGTGTGGGGTTTGCGTTCACGACAACCGCCGCTGCTTCTGCCGCTGCAGCTGTTGCCCCTGCTGCTGCTGCTGCCACTGCCGCCGCTTACTAATAATAACGACGACGATGTCAGCCTGTGGGGGGCAAGTGAGCAACACCGGAGCCGTGCACGGAATACCAACCGGCGGCGGTGGGCGAGAGAGAGAGAGACAGATATGAGTAAGTGGGATGAAATGAGCGTGCCCCGCCGGGCTGTGCGCGTCTAAAGTCTCGTCATTAGGCGCGGCGCCACGCCGCGGACGGGCCCGCGGGAGGCCATCACGCCGCCACTCTCGTCTCCGCGGCCTTCAAACCCAAAAGTAAAAAAAAAACCCTCCCGGCCAGCCCGAGAGACACGGAGAGAGCCGGTGAGAGAGAGGAGAGAGCACGTGCCGGGATACATAAAGAAATAACCGCAATGAACCTCAAAGACGGGAAAGGCCCTGAGTGATGGTAACGACGGAGCAACGGCCGCGTGGGCGAGCGCGGCGCAGCGAGGTGCCGGCTGCTGCGCTGGCGGCAAGAGGACAAGAGCAGTGACGCCCGCGCTAATGAGCACGCGCTGGGTGCGCGCCAGCGCCTTGTACCCAAATTTACAAAGGGCAGGGGTGGTGTTGGTGTGCTCGTGCTGGTGGGTGAGATGGGGGGGGAGAGATGTGAAATCTAATGCGCAGCTTCCTCGTTATATTATTATATTATCACCATCGCTCCGTGGTTCACACGTGCGCGCGTGCATGGTACAATTAATTTTTTGTGGTTGTTTTAGCTCGGTGTTATCGGGGTGTTCTATAAAAATTACCCATCATGCCCAGCACAGCAAGCGCAATTTTGCACTTTTAAATTGAACTCTAACAGCGATTATTGTTTGGGGGATGGAGCGGAGGCGCATTGGTTAGCCGACTAACGCTATAAATCCGGTGACCTGACTTTGATTCCCGGCCCTCAAAACCCGCGGTAACCGGCGTGGTGAAGTACGGTCAAACATCCGACACGGCATTCAGGGAGACCGCACGATGAAAGCGCACGCAGCCAGCGAGTCGCTCTGCCGCAAGGTTATGAGGGACGGACGAGCGGCCACTTCTCTCCATCACGCGGCACGCCACGGGGTCGGGGTCGGCCGCCGGAGCGGTCACGGTGCGATGGGGTCACCGTGCGGCCCCCAGCCCCCCCCATCCCCAGCCCCCCTCTCTCTCTCTCCGTGCGCACGCGGCACCGGCGCCCTAATTCTTTCCGTCAAGTGGGTTTGAGTTTTTTTTATTGTATAAAGGAGCGCGATCGCTTAAATAAATAAGGGCGCCAAAATTGACAGAGCGCACGGGCCGACGACGCGCCGCTCGTTTGCACGGCACGACGCTCGGCACGGCGTTCAATATTAAACGCTCGTGCGCGCCCAGGCTCACGGCTATTGGGGGCTCTGATCCACACTCGAATCCTTAGATGAAGCTTTGCACGGCGTGGCTGGGTGGGGAGCGGGGGACTGGCAGGGGGGGGGGGGGGTGAGGGGGGCGACACGACGCACCGTGTGACCCGACACTTTGGGAACGAGCGTAGATTTGCGCAAAAATTGCCGAACCCGCTGGGCTGCAAGGTGAGCGGTGAAGGCGGTACAGCAAGCGGGTTCGTTGACCCGTCTGTGGGCACCGTTAAGCGTCAGCCCCCCTCGTGCGTGCGTGCGTGTGTGCGTGAGTGTACATGAGCGAATGTACGTCAGCGAGTGCACGTGTGATGGAGCTTACTGCAAGCGAAAGCGAGCACCGGGGGAAGAATCCTTTGTGCAACGGGTTTACCGTTTCCGACGTCCGGCACAGGAAGTACACGTGTGTGTGTATATGTGTGTGTATATATATATATACACACACATACACACACGCGTGCACACACGCACACGCTCATTAGACGAGGGCCGGGCCGTGGCCCTCCGTGCCGAACGCCGTCGGACGGACCGCCGCCTGGGACGCGGCAGCGCGGACGGCGCATCTGTTTGGCGGCACTCCGCACGGCCGGGCGGCGCGGGGAAGACGGCGGCCCGCGTGGAAGTGGGACAAACGGAGCGTTACACAACCGGCTCCCTTCGCTCCGTGCCTCGCTCTTGCTCTCTCTCGCTCTCCTGCGCCTGCCTCTCTCTCTCTCTCTCTCCCGCTTCGCTCGCACGCGCGCTCCCCTCCCACCCTCTCACTCTCTCGCTCTCTCTGGCTCGCTCTCCCAGCCCAGCGGTGCAGTCTCTCTCTGATTAATAGTGTTATCTTGGCTACCTGAATTACTTCCCGGCGCTATCCCCCACAGCCCCACGCGTCAGCTTCCCCCATGCACCCCCGTCCTCCCAAACACTCTCCCGCTCCTTCCCATTGCCCCGAGCAAAGCAAACAGACGACGACGCTCGCAGAGCCAGCTGAGCAGAGGCCTCCCTGCCATCAGCCAAACGCCGCCGCCGCCACTGCCGCCCCACCCCGTAAAATACCCATAATCCTTCACTTGCCCCAAACGGCATTAACCTCGGCACCCGCTTAACTGCAAACTTCGCCGGCTTCGCTTCTTCCCCGGCGCGCGTCGATCATAAACGACGAGGCTACGGTCGGCGTGCTCGCAGGCGACTGCGCAATCCGAGCGGCGTCATTAATCGCCGTGGCAGCAGCGATGGCAGAGTCGGCAGGGCGGCGCGGGAGCCACGCAAATCCGTCCATCGACTCGCCACGTCACGTGGCTATCCGTGGGGATGTGGCGATCCGCGAGTCGTCACGACGCCTCGCTTGACGACTCGGCGGTCGCGGCCGTCGGGGGTCAAAGGGCGATTAATTAATGACCGTACGAGGACTAAAAAAGAACGCGACGCGTCGTTCTGTAGCGGGGCGCCCTCAGCAACGTGTGCGACGTTCACGCAACAACCACTCGGTGATCACGTGACGATCACGTGACGATCACGTGACGATCACGCAGGCTTGCAACCAGGCTCTCGGATTTCGGTCGGGTAC